CTCGGCGTCCTCCGCCAGGCTGCTGTAGCCGCTGCTCATACTGCTGGTCCCAGAGCGCAGGCGGCCAGGCAGGGGGCCCGGCGCCCGCCCGTCCGCCCCGCGGGGTCCCCGGTGCGTGCCCCAGCCCCGGCGGGCCACTCGGCTACAGCTGTGGCCGCCGCTCACCTCCTCCTTCATTTCTAGGGCCTTGTCTCCAATGATACTTCAGCGCCCAACATTGGTCGTACTATAGCACCTTCACCTCTGAAGCACCTTCAAACTCTGAAGTTTCAAGTATCCCAATCTCAGATCACAACCTTGTGATCTTACATGCACATTATTTCTACTGTCTTACTCTAACAAAAAGACCTCCACTGGAACCTAACATCTCTTGACCCTACCAACTTTTCACTGTACTTTATTTTCCATTTGTTTTCCCTTCCACCATTATCTACTGTTAAGCTCTGGGTATAGTTTGTCTCTGAAGAGTTCATGTGTTGGAAGCTTCGAACCCACTGTGGCATTGTTAAGAGGTGGTGGCACCTTTAAGGGTTGCGGCCCAATGGGAGATGATCAGGCCATTGGGAGCATTGCCCTTGGAAGAGCTGCAGGTCATTCCTAAGAGAGTGATGTGCTATGAAAGAGGAAGCCAGAGTCCTGCCCTGTTCTCTGGCTTCCTCTCTCACTGTGTTATTCATTCCACACATCCTCCTGCCATGGTGTGATGCAGCCCTAACCTTAGCCAGAGCAGGCACCAAACTGTTTAGATCTTCATCCTCCAAAATTTAGCTTTAATAAACTCAATAAAAGTTATTTAAAACTCAATAAAAGCTTAATAAACTTAATAAAATAGAAAATAAAAACTGTGAGCTAAGTAAACTTAACAAAATAGAAGAAAAGATGTTTGAGTCTTGAGTAGAAGGTATAAAACAGTTTTCCAGAAAAAAGGAAGTGTGATTTAAAGACATGTACAATTGCTAGATGGCACCAAAGACCTGTGTAAGGTTGGTGGCTGTGAATTTAAAGTGAAACCAGTAATATGTTTGCGTATTTTTCTTTAATTGCATGGTTACACACATGAAGTAGATAGAAAATCAAATTTTAACTAGTGTTGAGCCAGGCATGGGGCACTCGCCTGTAATCCCAGCACCGGGGAGGCTGAGGCAGGAGGATCATGGTGAGTTCAAAGCCAGACTGAGCTACATTGTGAGTTCAAGGCCAGCCTAAACCACATAGTGATACCCTGTCTGAAACAAACAAACAACAAGCAAACAAACAAAATTATTTCATACAGTTTCTGGTTGGGTACTCTGGCTGAAGATGTGTGTGTGTGTGTGGTACTGGGGATTCAATCTAGGGCCTGGTGCACGCTAGGTAAGTGTTCTATTACTAAGCTATATTCCCAACACTTCTTAAAAATTTTATTTTGAGACAGAGCCTTGGTAAATTGCCCAGGCTGGCATTGAACTTGAAGCCTCAGCTTCCTGAGTAGCTAGGATTGTAGGCATGTGTAACTGTGCATGGCTAGTTCAGAGTTTTTTATGAGGTGGCAGTCAAGTTGGTGAGCAAGACGACCGTCCCTGAAGACTTGATTAGGGCTGGATGACCTACTTTAAGCTCATTTATAGGGCTGTTCTTTAGAGACTTCAGTTAATTGCCATCTGGGCCTCATTATAGGATTGCTCATGTCATATATGGCTTCTTCCAGAGTAAGTGACCTGAGGGAGAATGAGAGTCAGAGTAGAGGCAAGTGGCGTGATGGTGGTGGGGAGGACACAGTGTTTTTATAATGTAAAGTCTGAATGATGCACTATCACTGTAACGTTTTAGCAGTCATATGGACCAACACAGGTACAGTGTGGGAGAGGGACACTCTAGGAGGTAGAAATCATTAGAGGCCACTGTAATTCTTTTTTTTCAGTACTGGGGATAGAACCCAAGAACTTGCCACCTCTGAGCTACATCTCCAGCTCTTTTTATTTTTTCATTTTGAGACAATATCTTGAGAAACTGTTCAGGTTGGCCTCCAACTTGTGATCCTCCTGCCTCGGCCTCGCAAGTAGCTGGCAATATAGGTGTATGCTACTGTGCCTGGCTAGCTGTGATCTTAAAGAACTCTCCCATAACTTGACCTCTCCTTTCAGATACTCATTTCTGTGTGTCTCTTTAAAATAAAACTTATTTTGCAAATAGGGGAACAAAAGATGGAAGGTAAAGAGAGGTAAGGGGAAGGAGATATAAAAAAAATTAAGATGGGATATATATATAGATAGATATATAGATATCTATCTATATAGATATCTATATATAGATATATACCAACTCCTCATGATTCATGTAATCATTATGTGCTGCAACACGTACTAATAAAACAAAAATTAAAAGATTAAATAAAATTCATTTTAAGAGTTGTACAAAATTGCTGTCTCCAATTCTTTCTCTCTTAAGTCTACTCCATCAGGCTGTTTAAAGACACTGCTCTTTTTAAAGTTATTAATGATCTCCACATTGCTAAATCCAATACTCAATTCTCAGTCCTCATCTTATCTGACTTATCATCAAAATTTTAACACCATCTATCTTCCTCAAAGGAATATTTTTTAAATTTGGCTTTCAAAGTATTACACTCTCTTGTTTTTCCTCCTTAGCTTACTGACTGATCCTTCCCAATTTCTTTGCATTCACCTCTTCTTAGCCTCTTTAAAGTGGAAATACCCTGTCCTAGTCTTGGGGCCTATTTTCTTACCGGTCTCTATTCAGCTCCTTGACGATTCCATCCAGTCTGATGATTTTAAATCTATATACTAATACTACTTAGGTTTATAGTTTCAACCCAGAACTCTCTTTCAGGAACTTTTATCATACTATTTTCTTGAATGTTGATTAAATAAAATTTAATCTGTCCCAAACTGAACTTCTAATCTTCCCCTCCCAAACCTGTTCCTTCACCATCTCAGTAAACAGCAATCCCATCCTGATGGTTGTTCAAGATAAAGCCCCTAGGGCTTTACTTGACTCCTCTCTTTCTCATACACAAAGCACAATCCATATCTAAATTTTCAACAGATCTTGAAAGTTCTGCCTTCCAAATATTCCAGAATCCAACCACTTCTCACCATCTCCATCACTACTTCCCTGATCCAAGATATCAAAATCCCCTATCAAGTATTCCAGTACCCCCCTAATTGGTTATTTTTTGAGACAGAGTCTCACTATTTAATTCAGGCTGACCTTGAATTTATTATGTAGTCCAGGCTGGCCTCGAACTTACAGTGATTCTCCTGCCTCAGCCTGAGTGCTGGGATTACAGGCGTGCAGCCCCACTGCTGGCTTCTTAATTGGTCTTGTTTATACTCTAACCCCTTCTCTCTATGCTCAAGAGAGCATCCAGGATGGTTGTTTTAAAAATTCAAATCACATTATGAATTTCCTCTGCTCAAAGCCCTCCAATAGCTCCCCATCTGAACACATTTTGATGGCTTTCAATACTCTGTATGACTGCCCATGCCTCAAAATTTGACTTCCTATCTTAGCGTTTCCCCTTTCCCCTATGACTCTGCTCCAGTCATACCTTACTAGCTTCCTTTCGGTTTCAGGCACTGCTCTCACCTTGGGGCACTTGTACTTGCTGTTCCTCTACCTGGAACACCCTTATAAAAACCTTCCTTTGAAGATTAGAGTTTCTTGTTCCACTATCTCATTTAAGGCATTGCTTCGAAGAACCTTAGTGAAGCCTTCTCTGGATATCCTAATTACACCCCCACCTCTCCACCCCCATATTCCCAATCCTTTCCGTTTTTACTCCATAACACTCATTAGGATCAGATAAATTTACTTACTCATGTGTTTATTTGATTATTCCTTTGGCTGTATTGTAGATGTACGATTTTTTTTCCCACCATTAAGTTTATTGGTACATTTTAGGTATAAAATACATTTACATACATCATTGGGATCTTGTACCATTACATGAGCATCTTGGTTCTTATTTTTTCCCCCTTCCCCTGTCCTCCCTTCAGCCCCTCCACCCTTCCCTATTTGCAAAGACTTTGTTTCCATTTTTTTTTCTTTTCTCATATTTTTTCTTTTCCCTTTTTTTCCTTTCTCCTACCCCTCCCACTTCCCCTGCTCCTTTGACCTTTTCTTCCTATTACACAATATCAATTATACATTTTTAAAATTACAATATCAAGATCTAGGAGACATTACCACAGATTTTACAGAATTTAAAAGGATATAGAAAGCATATTTCAAAAATCTGTTTTGCAATAAATTTGACAACTTCTAAGAAGTACCCTGGAAGACAAATTAATGAAACTAACTCTAGAAGAAATATAAAATTTGAATAGCACCTATTAAAGAAAGTATATTCCTAGCTTGATAACCTACCTATATGACAACAACTTTGGCTGTATTTTAAATTCCCCAAGCAAGGGATATTATTTGTTTTGTCCACTGCTATTTATCTTCGGTGCCTAGAAAAGTCCTGGTGTATAGAAAGCTTGCAATAATGTTGAATGAATGAATGGGTATCCCATAGGAATAAGGCGTGTCTAGACTACAACAGAGTTTGCAACAGAGAGGGTGACCCTTTATGAAGGCGCAGTGTTCAAATACAAGAATCCTGTATGGCTGAAACAACGCTGTAAGCGTTAACGAGCTGTATAAATGTATGATTTACTGTTGGCTTAATCCGTTCCTCGGTGGAACGGATAAGGTGTCCCTATGAACCCTTTTTTCTAACATTTTTTCAGGCTTTCCTCAAGTGGGATCCCTGGCCCACCCAGTCGGTCAGGTCATCAGACCAACGAATCCTTTTCTTTGGGGATTTAGCTTGGCCTCAGCTCTACAGCAGATCCCGCATTGTCTCACTGGCAGCTCCCGCGGAGGCACACTACCAGCTGTCTGCAGACACACCAGTTCCCGCCCCCGACCACCGCGGTCAGGAAGCGGAAGTGGCGGGTGACCGGCGCCCGAATCCCCGCCCCTCACGCCTTTGCAGGCCACTGGAAATGTGGGAATCCCGGAAGAGGCGGGCACAAGTCAACGGAGGGGCGGGACAGGGCGGTGTACTACACAGTGGCGGTTAATTTGAGATGGTTTCCTTAGTACCCCGCGTATTTTGAGCCTGTGGGGACCTCTCCCGGTACCTGCCCAGTACCGTCTTAGTAGGAGTACGCTCCCGGGGCCTCAGAAACAGGCTTTTATCTGGTCCGGAACTCCCAGCGGTTCAGCGCTTCTTCTCTTACTGGATACCGATAACGACGTATTTGAACTTGGCCCAGGTCAGCCTGGTCCTTCCTAGAGCTAGGTACAATCTTCGTTCTCTCAGTCCGATCCTGGTTTCTTTTCCCTCATCCCCATTCTTTCCAGAAGGCATTAAAACCTTTCCTTCCGTCTATATTTCTTCCTACTCCTCTTCCTTCCTTTCTTCCTTTTTCTCCAGAATCCCTATTTTTCTGTTCCGTACCATGCTTCTGCCTCCTCTGTGGCTTCTCTTCAGAGGCTTGTGGCTCATTGTGTTAGGAAGTTGGAGATTTTAACGCGATCATTTGAAGATTTGAACGTTTTCCTTTCTCCTAACCAGGAGTCATAGATGCCAGGACGTATGAGCCACTTCAAGAAGCATCGCAATAAGACAAATTTGCCCCTGGCTTTAAACCCTATGAAGAGCAAGGACGTGTTGGCGGTGCTGGCTGAGAGGAATCAGGCTGTCGTACCAGTTGGGGCATGGGTGGAACCTGCCTCACCAAATAGCTCGGAAATCCCAGCATATGTGAGTGTCTATTTGATCCAGATGTGGTGGGAGCCTCCCACCCCCATTATCCTACAGTTTTTGATCCATAAAGATGAACAGTTGGAGGGTACTGTTTCTCTTATACATTACATTCTTGCACTAGGATTATAGAACAAACATGTATTTGCCAAAACATGACGCAGCTTTATTTAGTTGGCATAATCAAACTACTTAAATAGTTATTGCTGACCTACTACACAGACCATAACATAGAGGACAAGATATTTGTAAGTTACTTCACAAACTTTTGATTTCTTGCTCTGCAATCAAAAGAGATAAAACACAGGTGCTGTCAGCATCTTTTATATCTCTTGCACTTAGCAGGGATGACGGTTGGCCACACTTGAATATTAGTTGCTTAACATTTATGATAAGTTTTGTAAGGGAGATTCAGGCAGAATGGAGTAAGAGAATAAAGGAGAAAGATTAATTCTGTTAAATATAAATTGAATGAGGACAGGGACCTTTGCTTCTTTTCATTCTTTCCCTGGCATATTGTAAGTCTTCAGGAAGTGTTTGTTGAATGAATGAAAGAGGAATATGGTCTGTGTTGGCCTGGAAAGAAAGTAAATACAGATATGAGGGAATATTTTAGCTGAAGGGCAACTTTTACAGAGTTTACATGTGTACATGTTTACATGATGATTCTCATAAACCAATTAATACATGATCATAATTTTTTGTTTGTTTTTTGAGTCAGAGTCTTGCTATGTAGTTCAAGCTGGCCTTGAACTCACTATGTAGCCCAGGTTGGCTTCAAACTCCTGCCTCAGCCTCCCAAGTGCTGGGATTGCAGGCATGTGCCACCACACCTGGCTCACAATCACAGTGTTTGTAAGGTTTTTTTCATAGTGTTTCACCAAACTGAAACACTGCTGTTTGGTCAAATTTTATTGTGGCACTCACCATATTTTATTTTACCAAGTTTTTATGTATGAGTTTTCCTGATGGGATGTGAACTCCTTGTACATAGAGAACACATTTTATCATCATGTCTTCACTTTTAGCCTAAGTATTGCCTAATAAATATAGGCAAATTTGTGATGATCTTCTTTACGTATAGACAAGGCACTGAACATGATGCAGTATAATATAATCATTGTATTTATATTTGTATGTATATGTATACACATTAACTGATTTATTCCTATGCTGCCTATCACAAAAGATATTAAGAGTCTTAATGGTATATGATTGAGTGGTAGAAATATGATGCTTAATCAAAGAAGAAAGATATGATTTGGGTTGATGTGACCTAGGAAAGTTTAAAAGAATTTGAATAATCAAGAGAAGGGATGAGTCTCCTATTAAAGGGAATGAAGAGCATGGGAGGTGAGCAAGGTATATTCAGGATTCAAGAGTAGATTAGATTGATTAGACTGATTGGAGTTTAGTAGTGGGATGGTGGTTGGCAGAATTATGAAAAATAGGAATGATGGGGAACAATAGGGGATTTTGGAGAGGGGCTTGACTTTGTTCATTGTTTAGTATATACAGATGAATTTCATTATCAAACAGTGTTTGGATTAGATTAAATGCTTCAAAGTTTGTAAAAGTTAAGGGGAGATTGGATACAATGAGACCCATAGGATATAATTACAACAGTTTAGGCCAGAATATACCATCAAAACATCTTTAGTGGTAAGGAATGTCCAGGAAAAGCCTTGAAAAAGGATAATTGAAAAGAGATAAATGAAAGGGATGAAAAGAGATAAAGGTAAGAAAGTTTCCAGAAGATTTGGTACAAAGATCTTTTGTTATTTAAGTTATTAATTTTTTTTTGAGAGAGAATCTTGTTTTGCGTTTTTAATCTGGTCTTGAACTCGCTGTGTAGCCCAGGCTGACCTTGAACTCAAAGTGATCCTCCTGCCTCAGCATCTGGAGTGGTAGGATTAAGGGCCTGTGCCACCAGACCGAATTTAAGGCATCCTTTTTTTTTTTTTAATTTTATCGGTACATTTTAGGTATACAATATAATGACATTCATCATTGGAAATTTGTACCTTTACATAATCTCTCTTGGTTCTGATTTTTTCCCCATTCCCCTGCCCTCCCTTCAACCCCTCCATCCCTCCCTATTTACAAAGACTTTGTTTCTATTTTTTTATTTTTTCATATTAATTCCATTTCCTTCTTTCCTTTCCCCTGCCCCTCCCACGTCCCCTTCCCCTTTGCCCCTTTTCTTCCTATTTCACATTATATATTACAGCTTTTAGTCCTTATTTACACTTTCAGTTTCTCACACTAGAGAAACTATTTGGTATTTGCACTTGTGTGTTTAAGGCATCTTTTTAATTACTCAGATTATGATGTCTTTATAATGTCATTAGCATCAAATTGCCTAAAATTTTATACCATTGAGGTTTTTTCTTTGTTAAAAAAGACTTGAATTATAAGTTCTCATATAAAGTATTAAAGTCTTAGAACATCTATAAGCATGTCTTCATTTAAAAAGTTCTAATCAGTTTCAGCCAAAGAGAGTTTGATAAAGCATCTAATAGAACTGTTTATGACTTTAGTATGTTTAGTCTGGGAATCCATCCTTATGAACAGGCACAACACTGTCAGCTCAGAGTAGATGTAAATAGTTATTTTTAAAGATTTGTTACCCTAAAATCATGTCTATTCTAAAGGGGAACTGGTATTTTTTTTCCCCCAAAATTTCAGTGGTCCATCAGAATTCCTAAAAATGTCATAGCTTCATTTCTGCATTTGTCTACAATAATTAAATCAGCATCAAAAGACAGTGCTGTCCTATTGAATATGGCTATTGCATCATTTTATTATTTGTTGTGGTTATCTTTTGCTATGTCACAAACCACCTTAGAACGTAGTAGCATAAAGCAAATAAACTTGTGTCAGGAATCATATCAGGGTACAGTGGGGATGGCTTGTTTCTGCTTCACAATGTCTGGGTTCTCAGCTGGGGTGGCTTAGATAGTTAGACATGTCTGGGACTTGTGATCCTGACTTAGCCTCTTAGAGTCTTGTGATTACAGGTGTATGCCACGATGCTGAGTAGGTCTGTACTAGATGGAAGTGAGAAGAAGGATATGCTAAGTTAAAAATGGAGCATAATCCTGAGTTTGAAGACATTTTATAGTACAATATCTGAGTGGTGAACAATCTGCTGTATCTATACTGCTTACTCATTTTAGAAATTGTGTGACAGAAGTGAGTTTAAATTGATTCACTAGGAAGTAAGGAAGACATCTTACTTAGTTCCAGTTGAATAAAAAATTATAATTTGAGCATTTATAAATTCCAGTTTTTACTTTATGGTTTGGTTTTAGTTCTTGGTACTCATTAACCATGTCTAGATCATTGGCTCTGAACTCTCCTGATTTCTTTATTTTTCTGGGAATTGCGTCATAGAACTGAATTATTTTTTCAAGATCATATTCTGACTTCTCTGTTTACAACACTCCTATTTTTGATATTTAAAGACTTCAGCATGTATAATTGAAGAAGAACTAAAGGAACAGTCAAGAAGAAAAGAAGAAGCTTTGAAACATTTTCAGAGACAAGTCAAACACCGAGTCAATCAACAAATTAGGCTGAGAAAAAAGCAACAGCTTCAGAAGTCTTATGAAGCAGTAAGTTCAAAAGTGAACCTGAGTGCAGATGGGAAAGTATGTGTATTATGAAATAAGCTATTTGGCCGTAACAGAAGCACTTTCTTTTGATTTCATGCTTTGTATAATCAGATTTTCAGTGAGCACAGTGGATTTTCATGCAGAGAAGTCAGATTTTATTCTTATGCTCTTCTGACTTACTTTTGTGCTTTCACCAAATAATTAAAAATAATGTCAGAATTTTGGATTTAGGCTTGCATTTGAATTCTGATTTTGTAGCTGTGTGACCTTGGGTTAATTACTTAACTTTTAATATTGTTTCTTTAGGGCTAGGGATTTAGCTCAGTGGTTCCACTGCTTGCCTCACAAGTGCAAGGTCCTGAGTTCGATCCCTGGTGCCAAAAAAAAATTGTTTCTTTGTCTGTAAAATAGTAATATGATACTTATCTCACAAGGTTGTGTGAGAATTAGATGAGAAAGCCTAAGTAAATTATTAACGCATAGGTGCCTTAGTTCTCCTGCCAGCTAATCCTTCTTCCCCTAATTGAAAATCTTTTGGCTGTTGAGAGGTATTATTATTATTATTATTATTATTATAATACTGGAGAGTGAACTCAATCCCTTTGCACTGAGCTACATCCCTCAACCCTTTTTATATTTTCTTTTAAGACAAGGATTCATGCTGTTGTTCATATTGGGCTTGAATTTGGTGTCTTCCTTCCTTTTTTTTTTTTTGGTACCAGGGATCAAACTCAGGTCCTTGTGTTTGCACAGCAGGCAGCAAAACCGCTGAGCCAAATCCCCGGCCCCTGGTGTCTTCCTTCTTCAGCCTGTCAGAGTTCTGAGATTATAGGCATGCGCCACAATGCTCAGCTCTTAGATGCATTACTTGATTGTGCTAAGTTGAGATGAAATCTCTTTGTCATTTTTCCTTTGTATAGGCAGAAAAAGAAGGTTCTATAGCCATGCGATCTTTTGATCCAGCACACTTAACTCCTAAAAGGACAAGTGTTTTTCCAAGCAATTTGAATGCTGCTTTTGGAAGTTCTAGGTTGCCTCCTTCCCAGATGCTTAGGGATGCAATAGAAGATGGAGAAAATCAGAATGGGTTGTTCCAACAAAAAGCCCAGGCTGTAAGTACATGCTCGTGTTGTTTATGATTTTTTCCCATCCTTTAAATCAAAAATATGAAATTTCTAGTGTATAAAATAGGGATTAGGAGTTATCACATTCAATTTCACTTCTTGGTTTTTTGGGGGTTTTCTTTGTTTTGTTTTTTTTGAGACAGGGTCAACTATGCAGTTCAGACTGGCCTTGAACTCAATATGTGGCTCAGAATGGCTTTGAACTTGCAGTGATCCTCCTGCCTCAGTCTCCAGAGTGTGGGGATTATAGGTGTGTGGACCACTGTGCCCAGCAACTTTACTTTTTTATTTGAAACAGGATCTCACCATGTTGCCCAGACCAGCCTTGAACTTGTGATCCTCTTGTCTCATGCATAGCTGGGATTACAGACAGGTGTGCACCACTGTGGCTGGCTCAACTTCATTTTTTATCACCTCTTTTTTTTTTTTTTTTTAACCTTTTAAAGTGGGGAATAGTAGGATAGTGCTTATTTTTGTATATAGTTTTCTAATTTACATTTATTTATTTTTGGTAAGGTATTTTAGAATCATCTAAAGAAAGATGCAAAAGTATTACAATTCAGAGTACTAGAAAGAGACTTAGGTCAACGATCATAGATTTTACCAATTTCTCTGAAATTATGTTCTGAGCAAGTAATTATCAGTTTGTAGCATACAGATAGAAATGATTCTTTTGTTACAAAGAGGTTTGGTATATTGAAAGGGCATTTCACTTATTATCTTTGCTTTTTTTTTCTTATTTTTGTGTTTCAATGTGATTATCATGGTAAATGGATCTGTATTTATAGGTCAAGTAATAATATAAGTACATAGAATATCCAGACTTTTTGGGAAAATGTAATTGTTTATTTAATGACATATGTGTCTGATATTTAAAAATCAAACTGTTTGGCCGGGGATGTAGCTCAGTGGCACCACACCTGCCTGGCAAGTGCAAGATCCTGAGTCCAGTCCCTGGTACCCAAAAATTAAACTGTCTGAGTAGACTCAGTCAAGTCACTTAATTCATCCAGTCTGCTCTTCTTTCATGTACTTGAGCTTTTGTTCAGTTGATGTTCTTCACTTCTTCTTCATCTTGTTTTTTTTATCTTATTTAAAAACTCTTAGCACCTGTTGGGAAGCTGAGGCAAGAGGATTGCAAGTTACCTGTCTCAAAAAAAACCAAACCAAATTAAAACAAAAACTCCTAAGTGATAGTGAGAGGAACAAAAATATGGAAAATAGTGATTATATGAAAATAAAAGCTGTGTTGCTGCCTAAGTTAATGTGCTTGCTAATAATCAGTTCAGCTTTTAGTATAAATAGGGAAAGCTTTTAGAAGCACCTGTTATAATTATGAATTTTTAAAAGAAATTTCCTTTGTCCCAAACTGACTTTTTCCTCTCCTTGTTTGGTTTATAGTTATTTTAAAAATTATTTTATAAGTCATTTTTTATTAGTATCTGTTTGCAGTATATAATGATTACATTCATCATGGGGAATTGGTATATAACACGTCTTAATATTTTTTTATGTCCTCTTCCTTTCCCCTCTCCATAGTCCTTTCCTCCATCTCTGTGTAATAATTTTTTTTTTTGTATTAAATTCTTTTATTGGTACATTGTAGGTATACAACACAATTACATTTCTCATTGAGAATTGTACCTTTA